CATCGTTAACTTCACCAACTGGACACACCCTCCAGACCTTGATCCAGACTTCAGTCCAGAAGGCTTCTGGTATTCACACACCATCACTGAAGCAGAAAGAACAAGGGCGTTAGCAACAATTCAGACAACATCAGCAGCAGCAGAGACAACATCGGCAGCAGCAGAGACAACATCGGCAGCAGCAGAGACAACATCGGCAGTAGCAGAACCATCAACGGCAGCAGCAGGAACGTCAACACCAATTGCTGGTCCTTCAACGACACCGCTCCTCATCGACGACACACCACCGACACCCAGCACCACGAGAAGTTCATCGTAGCGCCAACTTCACCGCCAACTTCTACTCCAACTCCGATATGTACCGACGATCACCCGGACATCGCGCCGACGAAAGCACCTGACACGCAAGGATGGGACACCCAAGCAACACAGTATTAAACAATACGATAAGAGCAGGAGTACTCGACAAGGACTCACTCCTACTGACCGACGGACGAGAACTTCAACGAGTACGCGGAACGTGCTTTACCTGCCCTGAAGGTGACTTACCACATCGACCGTTTGCGTCTCATCACAACCCGAGCGCACCCGCGTACGCACCACTCGAGAAGGTGTATAGAGACATCCTGTACAATCGGGAACCAAGACAAGTAATATACAACTATACAATCACCTTCATCGACGCCGCCACCCGTTACGTCTGGCACCTAAACCTCCCTAGCCACGACATGGCATTCGCAGCCTTCGTTGCCTGGCTACCAGTAGCAGAGAGAGAATCGGGCGTGAAACTGAAAAGCTTCCAGTCAGACGGAGGAGGAGAATACACCTCTCAGCGATTCAAGCAGTACCTGGCGGAAAGGGGAATCAAGCGGCTCATCTCCCTTCCCTATGCCCATCAGCAGCAAGGTGTAGCAGAAAGAATGAACAGGACCTTGCAGAACAGCATGCGCAAACTGTTACGTGGCATGCGGCTACCCAACCACCAGCGGCCTGCGGCAATGGACCACGCCATCATGCTGCACAACTTGCTCTCGTCATCATCGCTTCCAAACAACGCATCACCGCATCTGCTATGGACAGGGAAACAGGGCAGCACAAAAATGTTACGAGTATTCGGATGCATGGTACAGTACCGACCCCCAGCAGCACGAGCGGGCCGATTTTCTCAACGAGCACAGTGGGGACTACACCTGGGAATCGAAAAGAACTACAACGCGTGGAAAATCTTCGACGTCCATTCCAAGGAAACAGTAGCAGCACGTGATGTAATTTTCTACGAACGACTCACGCTCCAGACATACCTTGCCAACCTGCAAGAAGACCAGGATCCCACAGGTGGTTTTCGCGGTGACCGAGCCTTCGCCCCAGCAGCGGACGAAGCTGACTGGGACGAGCAGAATGTGGACAACGCATCAGAAGAAGCCGGACCTCTTCCGTTCTGCTCCGTCAACGTTCCCATGGACGAAGATAACCCTCGCGAAAGTGTCAACGCCGAAACCTTCTACTATTTCGCCGACAACGGTTACGTAACACCTGCGACAGTCAACACCAACGAAGCAGAACGAGAAGGACCCAACTTCATACCTGATCCAGAAGCGGGAGATGAAGCAGCTTATCCCGAGGACGCAAATCTTCCCCGCTACTCACAGAGTGGACTGCAAATTCTCGGACTCGTCACCGCAGTCCACGGCACCGCCATTCCTAAAGAGCCTGCGACGGTTCAACAGGCTCTGGGGGGGGAGCATAAGGAAAAATGGCGCGAAGCCATGGACAAGGAGCTGAAGGCATTGGAGGAACGCAACACGTGGAAAGTGGTTCCTATCGGCGTGGCACGGAACAAGTCAGTGCTCACCGGGAAGTGGGTCTTCCGTGTGAAGACAAAGGCTGACGGCACCATTGACAAATTTAAAGCTCGCTGGGTTGTACGCGGCTTCGACCAAGAACACGGACGCGACTTCACCGAAACTTTCGCTCCGGTTAGCCGCCACACCTCACTACGCATTCTCCTCGCAATCGCCGCCATGAAGAAGAAGAAGCTGCGACAAATTGACGTCGCGAACGCGTTTCTCTACGCACCTGTTGATGCATAAATTTTCGTCGAGCTACCGCACGGCTCCCACAGAGAACCCAACCAAGTCTGCCAGCTACTCAAGTCACTCTACGGCATCAAGCAGGCTCCGCGACTGTGGCAACAGTACCTGCACGCTCGCCTCATCCGCATCGGCTTCAAGCAACTACCGCACGATCAAGGCATGTACCGGCTCACAAAAAACGACGACTACATCCTACTAATCATCTACGTGGACGATCTCCTTTACATCGGCTCAAATGACGGCATCACTACCTGGTTCGAAGGGGAGCTGCAGCGAGATCTCACGCTCACAGTTTCATCTACCGTCACTCAGTACCTCGGCCTCAACATCCGGGAAGAGGAGGACGCGATCTACCTCAGCGCCGAGAAATATGCCGACACCATCGCCAAACGCTTTACGCTCACACCGACAGCCATCTCCACGCCATACCGCTACACGGCAGGGAACGACAAAGGAAGCTCCGCTCTACTCAAGCCCGCCGGCATACGAGACTACCAGAAGAAGCTGGGATGTCTTCTCTTCGCAGCCGTCACCTGTCGCCCCGACCTCTCATACTCCGCAAGCCAGCTCGCCACCTACCTCAAGAAGCCTGAAGCAGAACATCTGGCGGAGCTCGACCGCGCTCTTCACTACTTCGTCAGCACCCCAACGATCGGCCTAACTTACTACAAGAACGCAACCACACCGACTAAGTTAATCGGCTACGTCGACGCTGATCACGCTGGCGACTCCGACAATAGGCGCTCCCGCACCGGCTACATCTACCGCCTCGAACCTATCGGACCTATCTCTTGGCAGTCGAGCAAGCAGGAATTAATTGCTCTCTCGTCAGCTGAAGCATAATATATTGCACTCTGCTCAGCCACCAAGGAAGGACTCTATCTTCGCGAGCTGCTGGAAGAAGCGAAGTTAGCCGAGTTACCCAACTTTACCCTGTTCTGCGACAACCAGTCGGCAATTCGCATCGCCAACAAGAACGGCTTCGCGAACAGGACGAAACACATCGCCCTGCGATATTTCTTCGTGAAGGACGAGATCGAGAAGGGAAGGCTCGAGCTGTCATACTGTCCCACGTCCGAGATGGCAGCTGACTACCTGACCAAGCAGCTCGGAAAGCAGAAGTTCGAATACTGCATGCTGCTGACTGGACAGAGCCACGTCAGCGACACTCCAGAAGCGAAGGGGAGTGTTGGAAACAATCGGTCCTAAGCGCCTCTGTCGTGTCGAAACACTAAGACACAAAAGAAACGAAGTATAACGAATCACCGGCGAGTCAACCCTCGGAGGTTGAAAGTAACTGTTGGAGGTTACGCGAAAGTCAAAGGTCAGCGACCTTTGACCTGACAAAGTACAGCGCGACAGCAAGGACAAACAACTGACTCGGTATTGAGCAGTTGCCCGAGTCGTCACTGTATCGAACCGCAACAGCAATAGTAAAACGGTTATTAACTGTATCTCTTCGTATTCCTTGTACTCTTATAAAAGCTTGTATCTCGTTGTTTTAATTAACTTACTTTGCCCTCACATACTAGCGCAAGGTGGTTCACAACTCTTTAATTAACGCTTCCGCTACTACACCAACTCTACCCAGAGTTCACCCCTGCAAAGATCCTAAGGGTTTTTCAGCCCAACAGTATGAAACCCTAAACGGGGCTGTACCTCAAATTGGCTACCCCACTACAGCCTAACCATATATATCATGCATATAATTTGACAGGTCTACCTCCCTTCACCACCTCCCCTGTCCTATACATTGTTCTCTCATCCTAAAGTTCAACTCTCTTTGGCCAACTCTCTCTCATAAGCCCTAGTCTCTACTAGCTACTATTCTAACAACAACGATCCCCATCTCAAATGCAGACCCGACCCAATCTAGCATCACACAACGAAATTACCCAAACGACAGACGATAAACGATGACACATACAAACAATCATAAGGTGTGACAACACGTAGTATGAGTGAATACTAAAATGCATCGGTGCTACAAAAGAGTTGGTTCTGGTATGCTAAGGCAAGCAACGTTGCCCCAACAACGATCCCCATCTCAAATGCAGACCCGACACACTTTAACATCACACTACTTCAACAAGCACATGTGTGTGACTTTGTCCAGCACTGATACGGTACAAACAAACGACTGTACATATCACACACACAGGCACATTAATACACACACTGACACACACGCACACACTGGCACACACACAAACAAGCACAAATACATACAGATAATAAAGGCGCAAACAAAAATTCAGTCACCATCGCTAGCCTATTCCCCTTTACCCTCCCTACACCCCTCCTTCCCTCCATCCCTCATCTCCCTCCCACCCCCTCCCTCATCTCCCTTCTCTGCCAAACAAAATCAAAGAACGCAGCTCACGCGCCCTGCACAGAGCAAAAACAGAGAACGCAAAGCACGCGCCCTGCACAAGAAAAAGGCAAAAACCAAGAATGTTCACACACTGTACAAAAAAATCAATTAAACATATAATGCTTCCCTACGAGGAGGCCAAGCAGGAAACGCAACTCACCCGCATAAAGCAAAAACAAAGAGAATGCAGCTCACACATGCACTTGAAACGAAATAACAAGAGTATAAAATAGTTATTGAAGAACGCACAGATCAATCAAAGACAAGCAATGGGAATTTGACAACTCACAGAGGTAAAATGGTGTGGCACCACAGTACTACGCCAACATGAGGCAATACCTTACAGCCACCCTCACGTTCAGCTTCACACTCACGCTCGCACTCACTCTTATACTCAATCTTGCACCCACTCACACACAGACACACAAATACTCTCAACTTTCTTAAACACTCAAAAACAAACACACAAACCTACACGCTCTCTCACGCGCTCTCTCACGCGCACTCTCTCGCACACTCTCACGCGCACTCTCATGCGCACTCTCACGCGCGCTCACGCGCGCTCTCACGCGCAATCTCATGCGCACTCTCGCAATCACTCTTACGCGCACTCTCACGCGCTCTCTCACACGCTCCCCACGCGTCTCTCACGAGCTCTCTCACACGCTGTCTCACGCGCTCTCACGCGCACTCTAACGCGCTCTCTCACGCGCACTCTAACGCGCTCTCTCACGCGCGCTTTCATAAGCTCTCTCACACCCACTCACGCACTCTCTCACGCGCACTCTAACGCGCTCTCTCATGCGCTCTCTCACGCGCTCCCTCATGCGCTCTCTCACGCGCTCTCTTACACACTCTCTCACGTGCGCACTCTTACACGCTCTCTCACACGCACTCTCACGCGCACACTCACGCGCACTATCACACGCTCTCTCACGCGCTCACTCACGCGCGCTCTCACGCGCACACTCACGCGCTCTCTCACGCGCACTCTACGCGTGCACTCTCACATGCGCACTCTCACACGCACTCTCACGCGCACTCTCACGCGCTCCCTCACCTGCCCTCTCACGCGGCCTCTCACATGCTCTCTCACGCGCACACGCACTCTCACGCGCACACTCACGCGCACTATCACACGCTCTCTCACACGCTCACTCACGCGCGCTCTCACGCGCACTCTCATGCGCACTCTCACGCGCGCTCACGCGCGCTCTCACGCGCAATCTCACGCGCACTCTCGCAATCACTCTTACGCGCACTCTCACGCGCTCTCTCACACGCTCCCCACGCGTCTCTCACGAGCTCTCTCACACGCTGTCTCACGCGCTCTCACGCGCACTCTAACGCGCTCTCTCACGCGCACTCTAACGCGCTCTCTCACGCGCGCTTTCATAAGCTCTCTCACACCCACTCACGCACTCTCTCACGCGCACTCTAACGCGCTCTCTCATGCGCTCTCTCACGCGCTCCCTCATGCGCTCTCTCACGCGCTCTCTTACACACTCTCTCACGTGCGCACTCTTACACGCTCTCTCACACGCACTCTCACGCGCACACTCACGCGCACTATCACACGCTCTCTCACGCGCTCACTCACGCGCGCTCTCACGCGCACACTCACGCGCCCTCTCACGCGCACTCTACGCGTGCACTCTCACATGCGCACTCTCACACGCACTCTCACGCGCACTCTCACGCGCTCCCTCACCTGCCCTCTCACGCGGCCTCTCACACGCTCTCTCACGCGCACACGCACTCTCACGCGCACACTCACGCGCACTATCACACGCTCTCTCACGCGCTCACTCACGCGCGCTCTTACGCGCACACTCACGCGCTCTCTCACGCGCACTCTACGCGTGCACTCTCACATGCGCACTCTCACACGCACTCTCACGCGCACTCTCACGCGCTCCCTCACCTGCCCTCTCACGCGGCCTCTCACACGCTCTCTCACGCGCACACGCACTCTCACGCGCTCTCTCACGCGCACTCACGCGCTCTCTCACACTCTCTACACGTGCGCACTCTTACACGCTCGCTCACACGCACTCTCACGCACACATTCACGCGCACTCTCATGCGCTCTCTCACGCGCTCACTCACGCGCGCTCTCACGTGCACACTCATGCGCTCTCTCACGCGCACTCTACGCGTGCACTCTCACATGCGCACTCTCACGCACACTCTCACGCGCACTCTCACGCGCACTCTCACGCACTCTCTCGTGCACTCTCAAGCGCACTCTCACACGCACTCTCACGCGCACCCTCACGCGCTCTCTCACGTGCGCACTCTCACGCGCACTCTCACGCGCACTTTCATGCGCTCTCTCACATGCCCTCTCACGCGGCCTCTCACACGCACTCTCACACGCACCCTCACACACAATCTCACGCCCTCTCCCACGCGCTCTTTCACGCGCACTCTCACGCGCACTCTCACGCACGCGCTCCCTCACACTCTCCCTCACACGTCTCTCACGCGCTCTCTCATACGCTCTCTCACGTGCTCTCACGTGCTCTCACGTGCTCTCACGTGCTCTCATGAGCACTCTCACGCGCTCTCTCATGCGCTACGCGCTCTCTCACGTGCTCTCTCACCTGCCCTCTCACGTGGCCTCTTACGTGGCCTCTCGCGCACTCTCACGCGCTCTCTCACGCGCTCTCTCACGCGCACACGCACTCTCACGCGCTCTCTCACGCGCTCTCTCACGCGCACACGCACTCTCACGCGCTCTCTCACGCGCTCTCTCACGCACACTCTCACGCGCTCTCTCACGCGCTCTCTCACGCGCACTCTCACGCGCACTCTCACGCGCTCTCTCACGTGCACACGCACTCTCACGCGCACTCTCACGCGCTCTCTCACGTGCTCTATCACGCGCTCTCTCACGCGCTCTCTCACGCGCACTCTCACGCGCACTCTCACGCGCTCTCTCACGTGCACACGCACTCTCACGCGCACTCTCACGCGCTCTCTCACGCGCTCTCTCACGCGCTCTCTCACGCGCACTCTCACGCGCACTCTCACAAGCTCCGTCACGCGCTCTCTCACGCGCGCTCTCGCGCGCACTCTTACGCGCACTCTCACGCGCTCTCTCGCGCGCACTCTCACACGCTCTCACGTGCGCTCTCTCATGCGCACTCTCACGCCCTCCCTCACGCGCTCCCTCACGCGCTCTCTCACGCGCTCCCTCACGTGCGCACTTTCACGCGCACTCTCACGCTCTCTCTCACGCGCACTCTCACGCGCGCACTCTCACGCGCACTCTCACGCTCTCTCTCACGCGCACTCTCACGCGCGCACTCTCACGCGCACTCTCACGCGCTCTATCACGCGCTCTATCACGCGCACTCTCACGCACAATCTCGCGCGCGCACTCTTAGGCGCTCTCTCACGCTCTCTCTCACGCAATCTCTCACGCTCTCCCTCGCGTTCCGTATCTCCCCTTCTTAAAATGAAAGTGCAATGCAAGAGGAGACCAATTGACACAGTAAATTTACGAGGAGAGCAGAAAATTTAGGAAATTTCAGCGGGGGGAGGGAGGATGAAAGGACCGGGACGCACCTGATAACCACGGTGCCTCAGCAAACAATCCGCGCTGGCGCACCAACCCGCGCTCGCGCACCAACCCGCGCTCGCGCACCAACCAGCGCTCGCGCTCCAATTCGCACTTGCGCTCCGGGCACCTGTCGCCGGAGGCGACAGCGGGGAGGAGGGAGAGGCGACGGCGGGGAGGAGGGAGAGGCGACGGAGGGTAGGAGGGAGAGGCGTCGGCGGGGAGGAGGGAGAGGCGACGGCGGGGAGGAGGGAGACGCGGCGGCAGGGAGGAGGGAGAGGCGACGGCGGGGAGGAGGGAGAGGCGACGGCGGGGAGGAGGGAGAGGCGACGGCGGGGAGGAGGGAGAGGCGACAACGGGGAGGAGGGAGAGGCGACGGCGGGGAGGAGGGAGAGGCGACGGCGGGGAGGAGGGAGAGGCGACGGCGGGAAGGAGGGAGATGCGACGGCGGGGAGGAGGGAGAGGGGATGGCGGGGTGGGATGGAGAGTGGATGGCGGGGTGGGAGGGAGCAGCGATGGAAAGGTGGGAGGGAGAGGCGATGACGAGATGGGTGGGAGGGAGAGGCAACAGGTGGTGGGGGAGGAGAAGTGATGACAAGGTGGGAGTGCCAAACAAGTAACTGCAGTAACCGAACTGGGAAAGGTTAAGGTTATATAAGGTCGTAACCGTGTACAACAAAACATAGAGCAGCTAGAAATATGGTCGATACAACCAAACGCCCAGGGGCGTACGTAGGAAAATACGTTATTTCTCTATCCATTGGATAACCACCAGCCCAGCTGGGGAGCATTCTATGCTCAAAAAAAGGAGAAAGGGCTAGGGGGGGCGGAAGGGGCCCCCAAGCAGCCAGGAGGAGCGGAGGTCTGGATGGATAGAAGGGGTTCCGTTGGGGTCGAAGACGAGGAAGCGAAGACGAGTGGCCAGCTTAATGCGAGCGGCTGAGCGTAGTTGTTTTTTCGCTGATTGTTTCTTCCTGCGCCATAAGAAATTTTTGAAAGAAATGAGGAACTTTGCCAGTATGAGCTGGAGGATCTCAAACCGGGAGGAGGGCGAATCTTGGAACTTGTGTTCACAGCGTGCATTCCAAATAGCTTTTGTGGATGCCCCAACCAGGAGGCTCCAGGGGGCCACCTGGCCAGCTCTGGAGGCGAGCGGGAAGAGCAGGAGCTCAGGAGGAGGAGAGCAGTGGAGATGACGACGAGCCACGGAGGAGAGAGCGGAAATCACTGCAGGGGCCACCCCACACTCGTAGAAAATGTGGGAAATAGTCTCTGTGGGTGCGGCAAGGCAGAGCGAACAAATCCCCCGGTCTGCGGCGAAGTTGAAACGCGAGCCCGAAGGAAGAGCACGAGTGTAGAACCGGAACCGGACGTCGCGCTAGAGGCTGGGTTGCTCGCATAAAAAATCGTGGGAGAGGTCCGGGAGAAGGGGAGGAGGAGCGAGGAGGACGTGGATCCAGCGGGCGGCGTGGTCGAGGGGAAGCTGAGTAAAGAGTCGGCGGCGAATGTCAGCTACGCTGGGGCATCCGTCCTGTAGGATGTCGAGCCGCGCGCCGAGCCCTGCACCTGTATGGAAGGGGCCTGCAAGCCAGGACCCAACAACGTGTACCGCAGAGAGGGCACTTATGTGAAAGGTGCCATCTCCGAACGCCGGCCGGGCGATGAAGCGGTTGGGAAGGACACGGTGAAGAGAGACTGAGAGCGACGATGGAGGGGAGAAGGCCGTGACCTGAAAAGCAAGAGTGGGGGAGGTTTCAGAGTCTTCTTTAGGAACGAACCACTCCCCAAGGGCTGCCGTGGGGGGAGGGGGGGAGCGGGAAAGGGGGGAGGAGGCATGAAACACAACACGAAAAAGACGATGGGGCAAAACGAAAACACTTAAAACTCGAGTATCACATGGTATTTTTCAAATTCAAGTTTCTTGAAATTAATTTCGTGAATAACCATGTTACCAGCTGGTTCAGAACAATCCGTCGGTTTCAAGCAGCAGAGGTGATCCGTGATTGGCCAGCGATAAACAAGAACAACCAGCAGGAAAAAGGCCTCAGAGGAAAGCACTGTTCCTTGAGTAAACTTGAAAACCATCGGGAACGCTTGGACACGCATATTATGAGGCACGCTAGTAGTAGTTCTCCCGTCACAAACGGGCAATCTTCAGTCTAGGCGCTCTGTTCAAAGACACGAATGAGGGACCTTTGGCGACTTCAGTTGCAACCGAGCCGCGGCCACTTTGTTTCCTCTACCGCAACCGCCACGTTCTCTCCATGTGTCGTTGCAGCGAGTAGTAGTCTCAGGCGTAGAAAGAAGCACACACTCGCGCGTCGCGAAAGTATCCCCAGCCTTCCGCCTCCGCCGTCAATCTCTCGGCCAATATAGACACCCAGACTTATTTTTCATTTGTAGCTTATCGGTATGACAGCAACGCGACGGTGTATCGCGTTTCCTCACTCGGTCGCCCTGGCATCGCCCTTCCTCAAACATCACATTTGGCCCTATCGCCTTCTGCGTACCCTATGCACACGCCCACGCTTCCCCCCACCATTTCCCTCACCGTCGCTCACGCTTCCCCTTTACCGTCGCTCACGCTTCCCCTTTACCGTCGCTCACGCTTCCCCTTCTGTCGCTCACCCTTCCCCTTTGCACTGCCTCCTGCTCCGTGGGTGCATCCACGCTTCCCCACACCATCGCGCACGCCTTCCCCCACATTCACGCACGCTCATCGCCCACGCTTCTTCCGACCGTCACCCCCGCGTCAGCCCACCGTCACCGACGCTTCCTCTTACCGTCGCCCACGCTTCCTCTTACCGTCGCCCACGCTGTCAAACTATGATAATGCTTGTGCTGTGTAGGCTGTAGTGGGGTAGCCCATAAGGGGTACAACCCAAATTAGGGTTAGCATATGTACCCACATCTCTGTTCAATGCACTCATTCCTGCTGCTAGATTCTAACATGGTTTCAGAGCACTAGGTCCGTAGGACCGTTTTTTTTCGGGCCCACCTACCGTTGCGGTTACCACGCTACCCCACGTGCGCCTGCCTGCCTCGCCTTGTGACGTGCTGCCCTAGGCCAGCGCGCCGTCCCTGCAGGCCCGTACGACCCGCGCGCCGCCCCTGCAGACTCGTCAGGCCCGTGCGCCGCCCCTGCAAGCCCGTCAGGCCCGCTAGCCGTCCCTGCAGGCCCGTCAGGCCCGCGAGCCGCCCTGCAGGCCCGTCAGGCCAGAGCGCCGCCCCTGCAGGCCCGTCAGGCCTGCTAGCCGCCCCTGCAGGCCCGTCAGGCCCGCTAGTCACCCCTGCAGGCCCGTCAGGCCCGCTAGCCGCCCCTGCAGGCCCGTCAGGCCCGCTAGCCGCCCATGCAGGGCCGTCAGGCCCGCTAGACGACCCTGCAGGCCCGTCAGGCCAGCGAGCCGCCCCTGCAGGCCCGTCAGGCCAGCGAGCCGCCCCTGCAGGCCCGTCAGGCCAGGTCGCTGCCCCACGCGACGCGCCCGCTGCCCGCGCGTCGCGCTGCAGCCCCGCGGGTCGCGTCCGCTGCCCGCACGTCGCGCTGCAGCCCTGCGCGTCGCGCCCGCTACCTGCGCGTTGCGCTGCAGCCCCGCGCGCCGCGTTTAGGGTTTAGCGCGTCGCGCTGCAGCCCCGCGCGCCGCGCCCGCAGCTCGCGCAGCGCGCTGCAGCCTCGCGCGCCGCGGCTGCCCCTGTTCCTCGCGGCTGCCCCTGGACGCCGCCCCTGCCTGACTGTCACCGTCGCTCCTGCAGCAGCTGCCACGGAGCGCCCTACTACAGTCGCGGCCCTGCCCTGCAGCAGCTGCCGTGGAGCCTCCTGCCGCCGTCGCGGCCCTGCCCTGCAGCAGCTGTCGCGGAGCCTTCTGCCGCAGTCGCGGCCCCACCCTGCAGCAGCTGCCGCGGAGCCTCCTGCCGCGGTCGCGGCCCCGCCCTGCAGCAGTTGCCGCGGAGCCTTCTGCCGCCGTTGCGGCCCCGCCCTGCAGCTGTCACGGCCCCGCCCTGCAGCAGCTGTCGCGGACCTGCCCTACCGCCGACGCGGCCCTACTCTGCAGCCGCTGTTGCGGCCCCGCCAAGCGTCGGCCCTGCCTGCCACTTGTGAGCACCTACCTTGTTCGTGCGCTGCCGGCTGCCTGCCTGCCTCCTGCCTGCCTGCCTGCCTGCCGGCCTGCCTGCCTGCCGCGCCTGCCCTGCACGCGCTGTTGCTGCTACTACTGCTATTGCTACTGCTACTGCTACTGCTGCTACTGACAATGGCCAGATGCAGCTCTAGCGACGTCCGCGTGAGTCCCTCACGCCCCAGCAGCTTAGTGAGTGGTACGCTAGTTGGGGTTGTAGGGGTGGCCGCGCTGCTACTGCTGCTACTGCTGCTACTGCTGTTACTGCTGCTACTCCTGCTACTACTACTACTGCTGCTACTGGCGGTGGCCAGATGCAGCTCCAGCGACGTCCGCGCGAGTCTCGCACGCCCCAGCAGCTTCGTGAGTGGTACGCTCAGAGTAGAGGGTACCTGAGTACCGTTCGCTGCCCGTACGTCATTCGCACTGGTGCTCGGACTGGTCAGGCTTGCGGGACGCTCAGTCACACACAGTCCCGCTGCTTCGCCCGTCTGAGCGACGCCTGGCGTACCGAGTTTGGCGACGAGGCTGAGCTCCCCGACTGGGTGGAGCTGGTTGGGCAGAGGGTAGATATATTTGCTCTTGACTATGATGCTATTCTCACTGCCATGTATGCATTGCCTACTAGTGCTGACCGTGCCTGTTACCTGTGCGTACCGCCTGACCCAGGTATAGAGCCTGCTGCTCTAGGTGCTGGTGAGGCTGCTGCTCTAGGGTCTAGTGTGTCTCCTGCTCTAGGTACTGGTGAGGCTGCTGCTCCAGGTGCTGGTGAGTCTGCTCTCTCTGGTACTGCGCCTGCTGAGGCCTTGTACACCTTCACACTTGACTCTGGTGCTTCTCGCTCCTTCTTTCGCGACAGCACCACCCTCACGCCGCTCAGTCGGCCGGTTCCAGTCTCCCTGGCAGACCCCTCTGGGGGTCCAGTCCGTGCGACCTCCTCCACTGTCCTCCCTTGTCCTACTGTCCCGTCCGGCACACTGTCGGGTCTTTACCTCCCCTCGTTCTCTACGAACTTGGTGGTGGGTTCTGCGCTCCAGGACGCGGGTGTTCACCAGTTCACCCCTGCCTACGAGCGTGTGACCCACTGCACGTGTGCTCAGACGGGTCGTCACCTGGCTACCTTCACTCAGCAGCCGGGGTCGGGCCTGTACACACTGACCACTGAGTCCCCTCAGGTAGCTGCGTCTGCGTCTGCGTCTGCGTCAGGTCAGTTGTCGGCCCCCTGCTCGTGTCGTGCCTTGTCGCACCAGACCCTCCTTTCGCACCACCGCCTTGGTCACCCCTCGGTGCAGCGCCTTCGCAGCATGCACCGCCGTGTCCTTGTCTCTGGTCTCCCAAGGGCTCTCCCTCCCCTCCCACCCTCGCCTGCTCCTCCCTGTCTTCCCTCTGTCGAGGGGCGGCAGCGCGCCGCTCCTCACTCCTCCTCGTTCCCTCCCACAGAGGCTCCCCTGCAGACTCTCCACCTGGACGTGTGGGGCCCAGCCCGCGTCCGTGGACAGGGCCACGAGCGGTACTTCCTGCTGGTCGTCGACGACTACACGCGTTACACCACGGTTTTCCCCTTGCGCACCAAGGGTGAGGTCCCTGATGTTTTGATCCCTTGGATCCGCGCTACTCGTTTAGCTCCGCGAGCGGTTTGGGACGGAGTTTCCCGTCCTGCGTCACTCTGACAGAGGTGGTGAGTTTTCCTCCGACCTCTTGGCAGCCTTCTGTGAGGAGCACGGCATCACCCACTCGTTCACGCTTCCGGCCTCTCCGCAGCAGAATGGGGTTGCTGAGCGCCGCATTGGCTTAGTCATGGAGGTCGCTCGTACCTCCATGATCCATGCGGCTGCCCCCCATTTTCTGTGGCCGTTTGCGGTCCGGTACGCCGCGCATCAGCTCAACCTCTGGCCCCGTGTCTCCTTGCCGGAGACCTCGCCCACACTGCTGTGGACGGGGAAGGTTGGCAATGCGTCGCGTTTCTGGGTCTGAGGTGCTCGTGCCTCTGTCCGCGATACCACCGCGGACAAGCTCTCCGCCCGAGCTGTTCCCTGTGTCTTCCTTGGCTTTGTCCCTGACGCGCCTGGTTGGCAGTTTTACCACCCCACCTCGCGCCGTGTCTTCCCCTCTCAGGACGTCACGTTCGACGAGTCGGTTCCCTTTTACCGTCTCTTC